GAGAGATGTCCCGGCTGGCAGAGAGATGGTGGCAGTGGGACCAAGAGGCACGGGACAGAGTGACAGGCTTACCTGGTCTACAGAGGCAGAGGCCGGGCTAAGGGGCTAAGGGCCAGAGAGGAGTGTCTGAGGGCACGGCAGAGGGGATATTGTCCTGGTTGTATCCTGAGAGTGTTCCTAAACCTGAGTTGTAGCCTGTTACTTCCCTACTAAACCCCATAATCGTGAGTGTTGTTTGTGAATTCTGTGTGGCCACTGCAGTGAATTACCAAACCCAGCGGAGAAGCAGTGAGTACTGTGGGAGAGATGGTTGGTGTCAAAGTTGGTAACAAGGCTGGCGGGTGGTGGCATGTCTGGCCTCATAGAAATAAGACTTGGTCTGCTGATGGTGATTCTGTCTTCCTCTTGTGTAGTTAGAGGAGGTCAGAAGATGCCGCCTTCATGTCCTTATTGCAGCCAGGCACGAAATATTTTAGCCTTTGCAGATTGATTATAAACTTACTTGCAAAAGTACGAGCTGGCTCAAGAAATTACATACAACAGTCACAAGATGCTTACAGTACATATTTTCCAGAACAAGTTGTGAAAGCAACTTGCTTAAAGCAACTCATTTCCTAGCGACATCTTGTACAAAAGGTTGCAGTGTCCATTCGCATCAAGACCACCTCTCAGGGGACATTCTTTCCATATCCTAATTTGACCACAGAGAAAAATAAAATTCCCTTAGGTATCCATGGTTCTGGAGCAGATTAGGGACTCAATGGTCATGCATTTGTGCTAGTTTCATTTTAACTTTGCTGAATGCTTTTTTTTTTTTGGTTTTTTAACTTTGCTGAGACATAGTTTAGTTCAGCCATTTTACTTTAGCCCCAAACTCCCTGGCTCTCCTCTCTTACAATTCCTTCCTTCTGATCCAAGTTTTACTGAACATCCTCTGATCAAAGGAAAAAGTTACCAGGAGTCTCTAGCTAAAGAGGCTGTGACCTCATGGGCAAACTGAGCACCACTGTCCTGTAGTTTGAAGATTCCAATAGCTTCTGAGGCTCTAGACTCATCTCCCCCCATCCATCCCTTTAAATAAACCAACACTTCCTCAGATTATCAAGGAGGGGGAAGACCACATAACTAGCTTTTACGTTTGGTGGCATTATTAGCATTCTTCTTTTCATATGGTGATTTGGATGAAACTTTATAGAGCAAGTTCATTTTCCATATAATAGTTCATATACGTTGTTTCATGACATTGTAGTCCCCACAATGTAACAGCTCTCTTCTCACTTCCTCCCTGTAGTTATTTATTCCGTGTCCTTCTTTCCTATGCATTCCTGCCCTCTGAGCCATATCCTTGTGCAAATACTGCCTTTCTGGTCTCCCATGGTTGATTGTTCTAAGGGGTGTACCTACCTGGTGTAAATGTTCACCTTATATGCCTATCTATTGAATACAAACCATTTTTCACTTGCAGGCCATACAAAAACAAGTGACAGGCCAGATTTGGCCTGTGTAGATGAAAGCTGTTTCTCAGAAGAACCTGAAGGTGGTTGTAGAAAGCAGAAAGTCAGTGGAGGAGCCATTGAAGATGGTGGTAGTGGTGGTAGGGGCGATTGTTGGAGTAGATCCTGGAAGATGCAGGAAGGAGGTGATAGAATGCGGAGTACAGGCTGTGGGATCAGCTTCAAAAGGGAGGAGGAAACACCTCTTCCTTTGAGGCTGGAGTAGAGGAAGAAAGGGGGTATTTAAGTAGGCTGCAGGAAGGTGAGAATTACTTTCTTTAGGACCTTGATTTTCCCAGTGAACAAGGGGGCAAGACTCCAATTCCAGGTGAGTTGTCTGTCTGAGCAATAAAGTCACCTAGGCTGGCAGTGGGATTGGGGGAAAGAGGAAGCCAGTGAACCAGATGCTCAAGCACTCAAGGAATGTGTGGGAGTGTCCAGGAAGTCTTTTGATGACTGCAACAAGGAAGGGAGATTGTGTCGGAGCTTCAGGGAGGGTGAGGAGTAATGAGCTGTGAACAACAATGGAGAGCGGGCTGTGTGCCAACTCCGTTAGGCCACATGATACAGGGTGTGATGTGTGTGGATGTGTAGATATGTGGACATCTGTGTAGGGCAGTGGGATTGTGAGGAGATGAACAACCTTTACCTGAAACAGCTTCAGAGAAGGAGTGTCCTATGGAAGATTCAAGTACCGAGAAAGGGAAGAGATAGAGGGAACATCAAGGCAGCATTGGGGAGGGTTTGGTCAGTTCCTTCACAACTGAGGGCATTCCAGTGACCACTCTGGAAAGGACTGGTGGGAAGGGTGGCAGTGAGAGGAGAAACTGAGGGGAGGGGTCAAAAGCCCAGGGGAGTGCTGGGTTGAGGGAGAATTACCTGAAGAAAGCTGGGGATTGGGTGCTTGCTTGGTGGTTACTGCCATCTCAAGATTCCTCCTAGGACCCAGATATAAAGAGCCTGCTGGGGAGGCATAGACTAAGTTGCTGGGATGATGTAAACAGAGTGGCCAGGTAGACTCTAGGGCTGTGGTCAGGCAAGCCATCTGTGATTTTGTTTTTTCAAGCTCCAGACACTTGAAGAGTGAAAAGTGGTTTTGTGCTGAGCAAAACAATCTTGGATTGGGCAGTCAGGCCTGAAGAAGCAGGTAAGCTCATTTGCTGCATCTTCTGGGGTGATCAAGATAGGTCTGCGGTGATGGCAGTGGCAGGGACTGGCAAGGGTCTTCACCTGGTTTCCTTGCCTCTGCAAAGCCCAGCCTTGTGTCAACTGGGCAGTGTGGTTAGGCTAGAGTCAGCTTCCAGGAGACAGGTAGCCATGAGGTTTCTTGGGAAGGCACAGAAAGACCCAGGTACTAATAGGAGAGAATGGGCTCATAGTCACTGTCCCTGGTCTGGGACTGTTGCTGACCCAACAGGAACAGTACTTAGACTTGAATACTGTTCAGTGCGTTTTTTTTTTTTTAGCTCATCATCCTCACAGAACTTAAATAACTGGTTAAAATCAAATCAAACCCACTGCTGTAGAGTTGATTCTGACTCATAGTGATAGAACAGAACTGTCCCATAGAGTTTCCCAGGCTGTAATTTTTGCCGACCTTTTGGTCAACGGCTGAACGCTTAACCACTGCACCACCAGGCCTCCTTAGCAGCTGGTTCCACCACTAAAACCACTTGCTGCTGTCAAGTCAGATCCGACTCATAGTGACCCCTCCTTGGGTTTCCAAGGCAGTATCACTATAGAAGTAGATTGTCCAACCTTCCTTCTGAGGAGTGGCTGGTGGTTCTGGTTAGCAGTCAAATGTCTTAGGCACTACACCACCAGAGCTAGCAGCTGGTTAGTGGAGTGGAATTCATGCTGTGGCAGCTTGGAATTGCCTGAATGTTATTTGTTTTAGCAGGGAGGTTATATAGCCATGACATGGAAACGTTCGAGAATCACGTAGGCAGCATGCTGGAGCTGGATTGAGAGTAGTACCTACCACTGATGTGATGAAGAATTTGAGAAAGAATATGTGTTAGTGGGGAAGGGGGGAGTAAAGAACTGTGTTGTTGTTGTTGTTATGTGCCGTCGAGTCGGCCCCGACTCATAGTGACCCCTCCTTGGGTTTCCGAGGCAGTATCACTACGGAAGTAGGATTGCCCAACCTTCCTTCTGAGGAGTGGCTGGTGGGTTTGAACCACCAGCTGTCTGGTTAGCAGGCAAGTGTCTTAGCCACTATGCTACCAGAGCTCCCTGTGTTAAGCATTTTTAATTTTTGTGGTTGTCAGGAGCCTCAACAGAACAGGCGCAGTATCCAGCAAGTAGAGAGGCCTGAAGAGAGGATGACAGGTCAGGGTGGGAGACTTGTCATTCACTCACGTGGACGTAGAAATGAAAGTATACAGCAAACTAAGAGCTCACACAGACTAAGGAGTGGTCTGTGAAGAATGGAGAAAACAGGAGTATCAGGATGGAGACAAGAGCTGAAAAATCTGGTGTGTGAAGTTGAGAGGTGTAGGAGGCTGAGAAGGGAGACAAAACTCTTTGAAGAAGAGAGATGAGTGGGTCAAAGGTGACTTCTGAGCTGGGGAGATTTGCTTTAGGACATCAGTAAACAGGATTAGGAAGAGAGAAACTCCCACCACCACAAAAGATTCTTCCTCAGGAGGGGAGAGTTTTTTGACCACTGGTAAATTTGGGCAAGAACTGATTAAATCTTCTTAGTGAGGTTGATGAGCTTCTTCCAACAGGTTCTTGTCAGGAGAGATGACTATATTAGGTGTTCACATTGTAAAGAAAATCTGTTACACAGCATACATAATCCATGCCTCTGCATCAATTCTTTTATGAGCTACTACAGTGTTTTTTTTTTTTTTTTTCCAATGAAGAACAAGGAGAATCCTATTTAAATATACAGAGAAGGAGATCTGGGCCAGTCCCAGGGGGGACAACTTCCTACCCTGTTAAGAGACGCAGGGGGATAATACTGAGCTGGATTATGAAAGATCCATTTCCCTGCGAGCTCTAAGAATCCGCTCAAAGTAGACATAGCTCCATCTGCCTCTCCTGGATCACAATGCGCGGATGTCTCTTCTCCAGAAGGCTGTGGGCTAGATTCCACGGCCTTTCCTTCCCTTCCCAGGCAGCACCCGGGTGTGCATGCTGGAATTGACCAAGGATAGGGCCAAAGGGCAGGAGGAGGTGTCCAGCAACTTAGGGGTGGCGTGTCCCCTTTAAGAGCGGCAGCGCGGAGGTGGCGCGCGCTCAGCCGGCCGGCCCGGGTCCCGCCCCTTTCCCGTGAGCCCTCAGGGAGTGGTCCGACC